CTCACTAATGATCACATTGTATCTTTGATCTCTGAATGCAAGGTTATTGCATGTATGGTGGCGAGAATGGCCTCTAATAAACATACGCCTCTTATTTCAAGGCCTTACCTGAAATACCTGAAACAATGCTCCCCCCCCCCAATTCTCCTCTGTAATGAAACAAACTGGATATATAGCAAATACATTTGTAATATCACTTTAAGAGAGCTTTTAAAAACATTGAAACACTGTGGTATGACAGTGTTTTTAAGAAGGTCACCACCCTGAGGACTTTGGATTGGTTCTGAAATGCTGTTTTTTTTTATAAACTCAGTAATTGTTTCCACCCAACAACAACAAAAGCTTGGAGATTGTCCTCAATCTCTTTTAAGCAAAGCATTTAGAGACTGACTTGTGAGTTAAGCAGAAAATGTAACAAGACCCAGAGTCTACAACCATGCTTGCAGCTTTGTGAGGCATAATCCAACATCAGCATGCTAAAATGCTTACAGTGACTGTGCTACCATCCAGACATTTAGCAGATACATTCACCATTTTTAACCATTTTATTTTAGAGTATTTACATGCTAACATTTGCAAATTAGTATTAAGTACAGCCAGTCTAATCCTGCTGCTGTTGGACCAAAGTGGTGGACTGAGCAACCTACAGACCGACTGATATTTCCTTCCCGTTTCCTGGAAGCTAGCGTGACTAAAAACAACAATTTGTGCTCTACGGGGCCTTACATGCTTGGACTATTTCTTGGTGATTAACAGCCGGATGCAGTGACTTCCCGGTAGTGTTGCCGTCACGGTGAGGTTGCCAGGCGACCAGCAGAGACGCTGCGTATAAGTGCTGAGTGGATGGATGAACTGTTGTTTGTGGTAGTGCTCCTCTTATCTCACTCTAAAAGCAAATAAGCGCATGAATTGAAAACGCTTTCCAAGGAAAACATTCATTCATGAGGTGATAAATTTTCCGTGGGACTAAATAAAGTATTGCTTATCTGTTCGCTCCAAATTGTGTTATTTAGACACTGTTGTTGACAAGCTGGGGCAGTGGCACAGGAATAGAACAGATAATAAGAAAGGCTGTTAAGCTGTGGTATAACATTTTTTTTTTTTTTTACTTAATCCTTATTGCTCGCGTTGATTTATTTTAGAGCTGGTCAAGAATCTTTTTTGCAAATCTGTCAAGTACAGCCTCCACTGCCTTCAGGCTTTTATAAAATCCTTTTTTTCTGTCCTTGCCTCTCTTTCTCATCACAACCAGACTCTGTTCTGGATCTTTCCTGCATTGTTAGAAGCCACTGGTCAGGGACCAAATTATGCCATTTTGTATGCCCCAACTAACACTTGGTATTGCAAAGGAGTAGAAGTGAGCCATGTAGTTAACAGTCTGTAAGATTGGTGTTTTACAAGAGAAGAATTAACCTGATACTTTCTTGAAGATGAAACACATTTTGTTCTTTTTATAGTGGTGTCTGATAAATGATCCCCCTGTGATTGTCCTTTTCTCAGTAAGTCTGAACCTTAAATACCCATCAGGTGCAGTAGAGGACAAAGTATGTGCACATATTCACTCTAACCAAATGCCACATCAGACCTTTTCACTGATAATTAGACCACCTTCTCTGCTTGTTAAAATGCTTATCATCTGCCTTGGTGTTTGGTTGGACTCCTGCCCGCCGTTTGCCCTTCATGGCACATGAACCGCTTTAAATAGTACAACCTCTGCATCTCAACACGACCTTCCACACTAACCACAGAGTGCACAGCCGGAGGAGGCGGTGCTGGCCCAGAGGCTGGAGAAATGGGCTACTGACTGGAAAGGAAAATGAAGTTGGGGGGGGCAAGTGAATGTCAGTCCCTCCTGCCCTTGAAGCTGCTCTTGTGGGCAGCGTGTGGTATCTCACTGTCATAGGAGCTCCTGGGTCACCTAAAATAGAAGAAAGCAGTTGTGCAGAGGGGCACTAGTGTGTGCTGTGTGCAGTTTTGTTCTAAGTCTGCTGCAATAAAAGAACATAACAGTAAAAATTTTATCTAACATTCAGCCTTCAAAAGTTAGGAGAGTTTCAGATTTCAGTCTCAAGTGGCTTCTACATTTACAAAAACTAAACATGTTTATTTTACAGTGATATAAAACGGATATAAGCAGCAGAACCAGTGAATATTTCGTGTTTTTGCTTCGATAAATGACAAACTATTCATTTTTCCAGCAAAATAGATGATCAATTAATCAAATAGTTGCTTCAACATGAGTTAAAGAACAAGATGTTGGACTATTTGACTAAATGACTTATTACAAGGGAGATTTCTTGTAGTTCATCCACTAAGCAAATAGAAGAAGAAAGGGAAATGTTACGTATTGATTATCTGTGAGCACACAGCTCTTGGGGGAGAGAGAGCTCCAGAGACCTTGAACATATCCTTCCTTTTGCTGTATTTCTATGATGATGACAAGTTACTGAGTTATTGGATGCAGGTAATCACATACTGTATGTCTTTGTCAACAGGTATTGGCTAACCAACAATGTCCACATCAAGCGTCCAACCACCGGGCTCCTCATGTACACGATGGCCACTCGCTTCTGTGAAGAGATCCATCTTTACGGCTTCTGGCCCTTCTCGCTCAACCCACAGGGTAAACCGGTCAAATACCACTACTACGATACTTTAAAGTATGAGTACACTTCCAGCTCGAGCCCTCACACCATGCCTCTGGAGTTCAGGACCCTGAGCACATTGCACAGACAGGGGGCACTTCGGCTTCACACTGGGACCTGCGACGTAGAGGGGAGACCGCAGTAGGAGCTCCAGAGCAAGTAGCTGAATTTAGAGATCTCCATGGAAACCACTGAGCAGACCATGTTTAAAAAGTTTTCTTGTTACCGTACTTTTATGAAACTTGAATTAACTTATTTTCAGTAATTGGAATGAACTTTTTCTATTTTGAGCTATTTCAGTGACTTCACTGGTGTGAACCTTTTAACAAGATTTCTATGGCAACCTCTAAAATAATGAGACCCTTTTTTTGTGTAGCTGGTGTAACCCAACTGTTCACAGAGATCCTGTCATGTCCATCTGTCGGGCGCTTATTTTCCTCGAACAGCCGATTTCAATCTGTCACAGTGACGTTATGGATTAAGGCTGCAGAACACAAAATTGCCTTTTCTAAATTAATCACTAGATGACATGAATTAATAGCCCTAGTTGGTGATATGAGAGGGCTCCATTAATAATGTGTTGTAATTTACCCAGCATGTCAACAGCATGAAGAGCTGTTGAATTAATGGCTCCTGTGAGTCACTCATTGGGCCACAAGATGGAAGCACTTAATAATCAGGGAGAAGGATGATAAAAGAAAAACTGTTGGTTAACCGTTCTCTCGATGATGAACCCTTTTGATTAGGATCTTTTAATAGAGTGGATGTGATGTTTCAACTTGTGATAAGACATTTTCCTTTGATAGAGAACATTTTATGCTTTTTTGTAGCTTCTTATAAAGCACCTTAACCGGTGTTCACAGTAAAACAGGTCATCCATAAGCAAAAATCAACCACAACTGCCATGTGATAAAGTTAGGTTACATTGAGAACGAAGGAGCGTAAGCACGATGAGTTGTATTCTGCTTCTGTGAGGATAAAGAAGGAGTGTACCAGCTGTTCACATAAGAATGTTTACACAGACTCAACCAATGGTAAACTCACTTGGTAAACTCAAAGAACACCAGCCCTGTTTCTGCACTGGAAATATACGTTTTGAGGTCAGACTGTAGTTGCGTAGTGATAGTAAAAAAAAAACGAACTTTGCTTTTTATTTCAATGAATGTATTGGTGATATTCTTACAAATGCTGTAAGAAATGAGCCCCATAATGTGCTTTAAATTAATTCCTAGTTACAGTTAGCAACAGTTTCAAACCATTAACACTGAAGCTGATAACTTGAATGTCTTTATTCATTCAAAATAATGTAATAATTATACTTGTATATTGTGTTTGGGTTAGTATCAAACCAGTATAGGTTGATATAGATATTTGTGAATTTAATTGAAGCTACCAGTATTTTGTGCCTATAATCAATACATTTGTATAATTGGATCATTCACATGCCCGGAAACAAAACTGTTCAGGGTTTATCCAAGTTATCCTTAAGAAAGATGAAGACTCATGATTGTTTGATAATGTCACTCACTTCTGAAACCAACAAAAAGAAATGTGCAACACAAGTATATTTTATTGGATATTTGTTTTGTCAGGGAAGAAACTCCATTCTGTGTTTATTCTAAGGCCAATACCATACTGATTTGTCAAAATACTACACCAGTTTGGAGCTAGTTTGGCTTATATTTTTGTACTTCCAAGCTCCACCTCAGTAAAAGTCTTGAAGTTCAGCTGTTGAGTTTTAGTTGTTTTTTTTTTTTTCTTCTTTTAGGAGTTGTCTCGAATGCTTAATTAGCCCCTCGTGCACTCCCAGTCATGTGATATGTTCAAAAAAGTGTTGTTTTGACAGGATGCGCCTGTTGACTTGCGTGTTGGCCTACACTGCCAGTTAAGAATAAACATGAAAGTTGTACCAGAGACGTCAGCAGTCTGAGGCAATGAAAGGTTTATTTGTGAGCGCTCGTCTGGCAAAAATAGAAACATTCTGTGACCAACACAATTAAGTTTATTAACCCCCGAATCTGGTATTTACCACGGTTTAGAAAATTTTCTGACATGTAGTTTCTGCTGTGAAACTGTGGGGATTGTGCTGTATAGATTTAGCTTACTTTTTACCATGTATACTGTATGTTAACATCTGTTTAAGTGCTAAATTCCAGCAAACAAATGTTAGCTTTTGCATGTTTGTCATGTGTTGATAGAAATAACTTGAGTATATTTAAATTTTTTTGCATTCAAAATATTCACTATGACTCAAGGACGCTTAAATTGTAAAGTTATGACAAGTGAATGTACTTTACTGTGGAAGAAAATACACAAAAGACCAGAATGGAAATAATAACACTTCGAGCCCCTCGCTTAAAACGATTTAACACTTCAAAGGAAGCAATTTTATTTCAGTTGTGTTTTCAAAGAAATGGAAACTGGGCAAACAGCCGCTGGTACACATAACATCTCTGTGTCAGAAACCAAGCAGGGACTTTTTTTCAATAAACTTCCAAACAGTTTGTACATTTACATTTTTTTTGTTTTTTTTGTTTAAATGTGGAACTAGGGAGATTAACTAGCCTTCAAATAGCTACCACAATGACTTTGATTTATTTTACAAGAGGAACTTTCTGCAGTGGATGATTCAGTTCTAATAAAAGTCCAGAATTAGCGTCTTTAAATGAACTAGCTTTTTCCACAATGTCACAACTAAAGATAAAAGACGTTGCCAGAAAGGAAGACGATAACTGTACAAAGGAAACGTTAGCAGAAGCACTGAAATGGATCTGCAGTTGTCCTCGCATACAGTGAAAGACTCCAATTAAACATGGCACAGTACTGAAATGAACATATATGATGGAAAACACATGAAATAGCCTGCAGTCTGCTAAAGGACATCATATCAAAAATATGGTTGAAAGTTTGATTCACATATGATTTAATATATGATTCAAAAACCTTAGCATTCACACACACTCCTGCATACGGCTTAACAGTGACAATAAATGTACCCAGTCTCCTGCGAATGTCACCAACTTTGTTTTGAACAAAGGAAAATACACAATGTTCTTTCTCCTAGAAAGAAAATGTCAGATAGGTTTAACCAAGTCTTTGCACTTTCTCTTTTTTCTGTTTACTCGGGATGGAGGTCATTTGGAAACAGCTGCACCTGTAGGCCAAGGGGCACTATCAAATAACAGTTTGGATTAAAACTCAAGGTCACCTACAACACCCACGCTCACATTCGCTGCAGAAACCTAATCTAGGTGTACTCTGCATTGTTGTTAGTTTACTGTAATTACATTTAGAGAGCGCAGACAGAGACTAGGAAGGTTTGTAAACTCCTCTGCTATTTCCTTCATATACTTTAAATCAGAATTTTGATGCTTTACTGTGTATTTGGTATATGAATTAAAGACATAAGAAATATAACCAACCAGTTATGGTTTTCATTGTTTTCATTTAATACTGCTCTAGTGGACCAAATTATTTGAGGACTTTTTCTGTTGCAGTCAAGACCTTCATTTTAGACTCAGGTATCAAAACATTTCCATCAACAGTCAAAACCAGTGTTGCTTTACTCAAGGAAGAATACACTAGGCATATAGTATACTGCAACTGGCAGTTTGTACTATTTGTCTCTCTGCAAGCTATCACTGTATCTAAAGTACTAAATTCAGTACATTGAGAGCTTAGGCCAATGGTTTATAGGATGTATTAGATTTCTGAAAAATTGCTCAATTGTTCCAAAATGTTTCATCCAATGGATGAGATTGTTATTTGTTTTTTTGCCAGAATGTGTGGCACAGAGAAGCAACAATTCAGGAAATAAAATGTCCCCTTTTCAAGTTAGACATTACAAGAGTCAGTGAACCATTAATAGAAATGATTGTGGGAGACTTCACATAACACGGAACTAGCTGCTCACCTACTATCTCAAACAAGAGATACCACATTTGGGGATCATTTTTAATTGAGTAACTAGACATTATACGGTGATATAACATTGTTTGGATTTAGAAAATAAGACACTGGGTGCATGTCGAACATGTCAAATACTGTAACTACATCACTGCAATGGTTAAACCTGTTGTTCAGTGGTTACTTGATTTTATGCAATTGTCACATGATTGAACACATCTGATCACAACAGATTAAAACATTCACATTCATAGCAAATGGATGTATCCCATAAACTCCTCACACATATATCCTGACAATATTCTTTGAGCTGTTAATCCAATTTGAAACTTGAAAACTTAAAACTTCAGCTGGGATAGCAGCAAAATAGGAATGTCTAAAACAACACAGTAAAAAAATATACGCTTACTTCATACATAAGGGCAGAAAGCCTTCAGTATATATGCACAATACAGTGGTTAGTAGATAGAAATATATTTGGTATGAAAGTTTAGTTAAAAATATCAATTACTGTATATCACTAGATTCTTCAAATTGTGCAAATTGTACATTTAAATATTCTCTGCACAATATTTGTTGCATGTTAACGTTTTATGCATTAAACTGACGGTCTTCAGTGGCCACCAAGTATTAAAGGTCCAGTGTGTAACATTTAGGAGGATCTACTGGCAGAAATGGGAACTAATATGCTTTAATTGGTGGATAATCAGCTGTAGTTTCTCCTACGTGCTTTGAACAGGAGGGTGAGGCTAGGGCGTTGCAAGCAGCAACTACACTGATAGGTGCCACTAAATCCTATTAAATGGACCTTTAATTTAAAGATGAAAATCACAAAGTGTGATTAATCCAGCATTTTAATATCTGCATTGCTTCCTATTATAAACTCCTCGGCTCAGCCCAGCTTACTGTAGCTCAAGTGTAAAAATGAAATGTAAATGACAATAACTGTCAGAAATAATTAGTGATTATGAAGACGACTGAATTTCAACAGCCTGATTTGATAGGGCTGGTTATTTGGGCCACATGATAAAAGCATCAGAAAAGCAGCAAACAATGATAACTATGCAGCTCCAGTCTTTACAACACAGATAAAAAGCCATGTACAAGCAGCATATGACGTTGCTGATTTGGTAAGACTTGGCAAAACAAAAATACAGAAAAATCACTTGAGTTGTCTCAGGCAAAACAGGAGATATAAAATATCGATGTCCATGCCGGGATTTACCTGCAAAAAAAGTGAAAACTCACAGTTACTAAACAGAATTTTTAGAACATGGTGAGGAGGAAATGTGTTCGCCCGCAGTCCTGTCTGACTTGGAAGTCAAGAATGTCAGGTAAACAGGACATCATATCTTCCTTTGAGGAAGTGGTTGTGTGTTAAAGAACAATAGAAAGGACGGAAGGGTGAAACCTAATGTCAACACTGAATGAACGAAAACAGTGTTTCTTAAAAATAGTGTGGATCTTTAAGAAGAGCAAACTGATTAAATATGTCTTTTAGTTAGTTGTATTCTGTCAGTGGGGTTTTGTAGTATAACTTTGGGTCACGGTATATAGGAAACAAACAATGTTTGAGCCACACAACACAATGCAACAGGTGGAATTTGTAGTCCCAAGTCATCAAATACGCTTTAGGTTGCAGAATCAACAATCAGCAATCTTTCTCCAGAGTGACTGGCCCCACCTTTAAGTGCAATGGATGTCTACTAAAAGCCGTGAGAGACTCCTAAAGCTGCTTTACAATGGTGAGATAGGTAGAAGCATTGAGATAACTAAAAATGTAAGACTAGCAAAACCAGCCAATTTAGGACAAAGAATTACTATAAATAAGTTTCTTTTTTACTGAACATACACATTTCTGTAGAACTTATGGGCCATAGTGCGTTTTACAAAACAGTTTATAATTCCCTTATTATGTTTTAAAGTGGTAAAGGCCGGATTTTCCAGTTAGGAAATCAGGCCTTACTTCTCTGATATGTGTAGAACTTTGTCAATGGGATTAGGCCTGCAATCAATCTGATTTGGCCAGTAGAAACAAAAGAAAAGGAAATGTTTTCTTTAGTTACAATAACATGAATATCCGTTTCTCGAAACTTCTTCACGTAATTAAAAAAAGAACAAACCTATATTTGACATCAAAGAGGGTTGAGTCATCGTCATCATCATTCTCCTCATTGAGAGGAGCCATCTCCACACGCTCCGCAGGTGTCGTTATAATGTCGTATTTCCGTGTTTTTCTGATTCGTCTCCCAGTTCTGTGGGAAGGAGAAACATTCCAAACATGAGACAAACACACAAAATTACATTACGCCACTTAGGCTGACTGACTGAACCACAACATCAGCTGTGAACCTATTTTTAGTTCTCAGATGGAGATGATTCAATTGGTGAAATTTGTGATTTTACAACCTCAAACTAGCAGTTAGTACAGTCTTAACAGCCTTGTGTTTTTTGATCAGATGAGGAAGAGCGATGAAACTATGTTTTGACTGACCAAATGCCAACAATTGGGACCAAAATATCAAACATTTTTGCTTTTTTTTGTCAAGAAATCTTAAGACACTACTACATTTTCACAATGTCCTGATATTTTACAGACTTAATGTTCCATCAATTCATCAAAGAAAACAAAACATACACAGATTAATCAGGAAAGCAAATTATTCAACCCTAATATGAACTATGACTACAGTATATTCTATGAGATAAATGCAAAGATGATGGTAAAGATCAGAAGATATAAAGGCTATACAGGCACATACTGACTGATTTAGATTCACAGGTCACAGACACATGAGATTAAAAATAGTCTATATTAAGCAACTTGCTTTCTCAAGCGCCTCCACAATACAATCCCAAGTAAGAACATTATAAAAGGCCTGAACCTTCCTCACATTGAGCCTATAACATAAACCACATGCTCTTCCTCATCGATTCATTTACCAGGAATGCCAGAGAGAATTCAATACATCATAATGTGACTGCATCCCTGTAAGGCTTGTTATTACAGGCCTTAAAGCTGTAGGAAACAAAGAGGAGCCGTCGCATCAACCTGCCTACCTGATCACTTTGACGACCAGACATGTGATGAGAGCAGCTGTTAACACGCAGATGAAAATAACAATGTTTTTCAGAGTGGGGAGATAGGTCATTATGGATGAAATCCGGGATCCCACGGCAGCCTCTGTCACATTATGTGTCTGTTCATCTTCGCTGATGATGGATGATGACGATGTTGAATTGAACTGCGTCGTTACGGGCACGAGAGTTTGTGGTGAGCCGCTGACCCGCCAAAGAGCCGCAATAATTAAAGTTAAAGCCAGATTGTATGTCACCATGGTGCCGGAATAAGAAGAAGGGGGGGAAGAAAAAGAAAAAGAAAAACGCAAGCAGGATCTTTCAGTAGTTTCTCCAAACTGGATGAAATGCGACAGCAGCTGTCATATTATAGAGGATCGGCTTATCAATGTCAAATGTTGCTATACACAATAAAGAAAATGTGAGACGCAAATATCCATCTCTCTGCTCGCCCGAGCTCTTCCTGATGGGGGACTTCTATCTTGCAAATGTTGCCTTCCAAAACGTTTTTTTTTCCTTTGAGGTGAGTTATAGCAATTCCTTCCTGATTGCATTAGGACTTCGTGTAGAGAGATGGGGATTATCCGCCTCCGGAAGAGCTCTGCAGGCTGGCCCCGCTGTTCCTAGTGCTGAAGAGGATCATTATATGTGGGCTTGTGCTGCCTTCGAGGCACCCTCGTACATCCTAGTACCTACAGACGCCAGGACAAGTATGTTGGCAGCTTCAGTTGGGAGACATGACAAGCATGAAGTATTTGTGTCAGTGGTTCATGTTTGACAACTTCTCTAAAGAAGAAGAACTGTTTAATCACTCATATAATGAGTTCACAACTTTTTTTATTCCTGCTATCCGTCTTCTTGAGTCTCGACATTTTCAAATATTTTCTTAAACCAGGTTTCTTCCTCCTCTTTATTGAAATGAACTGTTTTGTATTCATTGACTTATTTATTGGTATATTCTTCTTTTATAAATTACCATATGTATCTTTTCCAATACAATACTGCTGAAGAAAGTTTATCTCATTTATTTGCTTTTATTGATTGATAATATTTTTGTCTAAAAATGATCAAATTGAAAGATAGTGACTCTAAAACTACCGCAGTTAAGTTTGAATATCATTAAGGTCATTAAAGCCTTCACATTACAACAATGTTCACTCATGTGCATTATTCCTTTTTCCAGCCAATACTTACAATAGGCATTATATTTTACATTTAAAAAACATTTCTAATGACAAATAGTGTTAATGGTGCTTTGTGGACTTCTACACAAAATATTAACAAAATACAGTTACATTACCTTTACTACCTTTGACACTGTTAACCCCCAGACATCTCATCTTAAAGATTTGTGTGTGACAGATCACTGTAACATCTCGTACCACTTCGCTGCACACTGTAGGGTTGACTGGCAGTGGCAAATTTCCGACAGCATCTGAAGGCAGCATTTAAAGGCAGCAGAATGCAGGGTCACGACCGCAGTTTCCAGGGAAAATCTTGACGAGACAGGTGATTGTTCAGTGATGGTCAAAATCATTCAGCAGATCTATAGACACAAAGTCTATCTCTGTGTTTGCCTCACTAAGAGAGACAGAAGTTATCTGCATTTATAATTTCACTTTGGGTTCACAATCTACATCTTCTTCTTCTGCACTTTCTTCTTTCTTGCACATTTTCTGTACATTTTACACTTTACCTTGTGTATATAGATATGTTTATATATATATTTATACATAGATATGTTCTTAATAATTATTATGTGTTGTATGTGAATATGTTGTATGTAGATTTGGAGTTGTAACGAAAGTAATTTCCCCCTGGGATTATTAAAGTATTTCTGATTCTGATTCTGATTCTTCTTGAAAAAGTAGACCAATGCAACTAATTCCTCTGATGGCTTGTGGGTAGGGGAACTTGCAGTTAATCTAATTTGCATCATGCAGAATTTCTGACCTGTATCTGAACACAAAGACAGCCTGTTTTCAGTCGCTTCTGGTTTGATGTCTCGTCTTATTTCTGTACACTATCCCTGGGAGTGATGGCCCCTCTACATCACCGCCTTATGTGAGAGCTTTTTCATTTGAGCAAAGCCCACCAGATGGCAGCACAGAGCCTGCACTTCCCTTCAATGCATGGGTTGAAATTCAGAAGAGACTGGTTTGCGCTGTACCACATAACACATGGAAGCTGACATTTGTTTCTATTAAAATAAGATGGTTATAATTAAGATTTTAGATTAAGTGTACTGTACGCTAACACACACATAAAACCGTAGTCATAGTCTACCGTAAAGTGCCTGTGCATTAGCTATATCTTGATTTTACACGTATATTAATTGCCTAAGCTTTTTCCCTCTGTGAAACATGATATGGTTGCCACATTGAGAGAGATAAACCTTAAACTGAGGGGGGTTGTCACACTCTGAGACGACGGCCTGAACTTTGCACAGAGAAAACAGCTCAGAGTGGGACTACAGTGATCATGTTACATTGTTTTAAACCGGCTTACCACACACCGTTTGGTTATTCAGTGTTAGTTTAGCTACTATTAAACACTTTACATTTAAGTCTTGACTTGTTGAGTTTTTTGACTAGTATACCAAATAATTCTCTTATTTGTCTTGCTAATTTAAAAGCAAACAGAAGCCTACCAGTTCAACATGTCTAAGGTTATTTACAATGTAACATGATGTTACATACAGCTTTTTATCTGAAATAACACACCCATGAATGCAATCTGGCCTGTTGTTGGTGCTGTTTGTGCAATGTGTTAAGGCACACCCTGGTGTGTACTTAAAAAAAAAAACCCCAAAACAAACGGTTGTGTTTCCGCCTTCCCCTTCTGACAAAGGCATGTTTCATGTTAAATGTTGATCCCTGCTTGCAGGTTAATGTGAGTACACTATGTGTCACAGTGGGTGGTACTGTTTTAATATGAAACCCATATAAAACCTCTCCCTGCTGACTACTTACTGAAGTAAACGTCTATTTGTTTTAGTGATTACAGTCCTCAAATTATTTCACTGAGTCAATCGTGGCATCAGGCTTTTTATTACACACCTTTAGCACCAATAGCAATCATCTTTTAATTTAACCTTCCTTAACTGAAACCAAATCTGTGCTCCTAAGACCCCTCGTCTTAGGAGCACAGATTTGGTTTCATATTCACTAAGCTTTGTGCTGCACCAACTGTGCCAATTAGAGTACATTTCCCATTCTTAATCTCTAAAAGCATAGTTTTACATCGCAACAGTCAGGTGACTTGCAAACATACTGATAAAGGCAAAACACTTTTTTGGGATCTTAACAGATTCGGTGCAACACTTCCCTATTCAAACCCATCCAACCAGTCAGTCAGTCAGTCAGTCAGTCAGTATAAAGGCTGTGTTCACTTCACTTGTAAAGGCTGGATTTGTAATGCACTTGCAGGGCTCGCTCTGTTGCTAGGCTGAGGATCTTTTTAAAGAAATCTTCCACTGCAAAGAGCATGCGCCGTCTTGTCGAACATCTCATTGGTCACTGATGGGGGTGGAGTGCATACCACAGACTCCTCAGACTGCCCAATAAAGGCTGCACTGAGTGAGCAGACAAAGTTTGCCAAGTTTGGTTGTCCCTATTGGGCGTCAAAATGTAATTGTTCAAACTTTTCACGGTTAAAACAAATAATATGGTTAGTCTCGTTGATTTTGTCCTTTCGCCACGAGCTGGGCAGGCTTCTGTCAAGCATGTGGTATTGCATTCATGTTCAGTTATTCAGAAGAGGCTCAATGAAGCAACTTTATAATAAGATTTTTGTTGTATATGTTTGCATATATAGCTACTAGTATGCATATGGCATGCCTTATTCAAAAAATGGAGTGGTGCAGGAACTAAATCTAACGTCCGAACTATGTTGTACAATATCAGGGAATAAACATGTTATTGATCATTTATTAACAGCCTTGCACCTGCAGTACCTTTCAAGGAAGAGGCTCAGAGAAGGTCTGCTGAATCAAAACACAAGGGTCATTACACTTTGTAAAATTTTTTAGATAAGTGCTATACAAATAAAGTTAAATGCATTTATTACACAGTAAATATATGTGTATATCTATATATAGAGATATATACATATAGCCTATAAAGCTACCTGTGTTTTGTGCAATGTTCCTGATGAGAAAATGTTTTCTACTCCTTAACAAACATGTTTTCATATTTACAATAACACGCTACTGGCTATAACACATAGGTATCACTGTTTTTACAAGATTATACATGTTATTTGTTAGTTTCATATCAGTAGGTCACACAGGTTACTTGTTTATAACAGCTGACGTTTACTAAAAGCTTAATGTGATTGGGTTACTGCTCACGTGGCTATGTGTGTCTCTATACAAAAAAAAAACTACATACATTTTTGTTTTGTTAATTCCACATAAAACTAAAACATTTCCACTTGTATGCTGTGGGTTTTGTGCTAAGGTATATATATATAATTTTTTTTTTTAAATGTCTATATTCAGGCTTTCAGTAGGCTGCTAGCGCTGGCTATGGGGCTGGAGAGGAAGTGGAGTTTGGCTTACGTTGAGAGGAAAGTGGGCAGAGCCGCTGAAGGATATCAGCTCAGGCAGAGGCAGAGAGGAGGACACACACAGCGGAGGAGCGAGGCGTCGACAGCGGAGAGGAGGAAGGGCGGAACGATGCGGCCGAAAGACCCACCAAAACGACGAAAATCGTCCAAAAACTCGACGCTGGCCGCGGCAGATGACGGCGGATAGCCTCGGCCTGGGAAATGGGTAAGAATTTACGAGTAATCCGACATTAATAGCTGAGAAAATAGGATTCAGGGGCGTCTGGCAATATGGTGGAAAGAACGACAGTTAGACGCAGTGTTGTAAAAATGGCCATGGTGTGTTGTCAGCGAAGAATAAAGATAACGACGCAGAGAGTTTAAATTGCATTTATTTGTGTTTTATTTGATGGAATTTGCACGTTTGCTAGCCCTGTTTCGAGTTAACTTAGTTGATATATAGACAAGCACATTTGTTCTCGAGCTTTTTTTGGAGTTATTTCAACCTACGCATTTAAAATTTGCTTTGTCCTTGAAAAGAGCAAATGCCCTTGTGTGAATTTGTTCGACAAAAACAACAAAATTGAGCAAATGTTTTCGTTTTTTAAATGTTGATTTGAGACTGATTGACGTCAACTCAACAAGCTTTAGTAGATTTTTTTGGTTTATTTTCAGTATATCTGTTTTTAGAGGTTTTTCATCGAATTGTAAATCAAAAACCTATTAAAAAATCGATCATTTTTCACAGTATCTTACCACACAGTGTACAGATGTAGTTTATAACAAGATTTAAGTAAGTGTGGGATGCTTAATACTTAGTATTTAAAATTAGTTTAAATAAATTGTAAGAAGTTGTCAAAATGCTTTAAATATGACTATTCAACCCAATTCTTCCAGTGTAGACACTGTACATAAACTATACTGGATTTGTTTGTCAAATATAGATCCTATATGTTAGAAAAGCTTTAGATATACTTCGAAATACAAAATAGGGTGTTGGCTTTTAACCCTTCGAGGTACTGGATGGAGAAGTAATTTGAATATGTACATTAATTTTGTTTTCCCATTTTACATTACACAAGCAAGACATGTAAAGA